CCAAGATCTACGCCATCTTAAATGAATTTCTATATCAAACATTATAATAATTATGCAAATGACGTAAATTACGCGGAGCTTAATATATCATTCTCCGCAGACTTGACATAATAAATTTTTTTAGTTTCTCTCGGTTTTTTTTTCCTTAAAACATAAAGAATTTCTGCTTTTTCTAACAGCACAAATTTATAACTTATAAACACGCAAATGTTTAAAAATTCTAACCCGTTCGATGAGGATGTTAGTACGTATTCTTTCCAATATGGCGATTATTAAGAATTTTTTTTTCTTTTTAAAAAAAATATGCTTATTTTAACGATTTTTACTGTTTAATAGCTGCTGCAACTAGTGAAAACCTCACCAAAGAAAATTGGGACCTTATAACAAAATTATGCGAAAAGACTGAAAAAAGTGGGGAGCAAGGGTAAAGACTCAAATAATTTATTCTTATATAACCTTAATCCTTTTCAGCGGTTTAATTAATGTTAATTTTTTATATTATTAGTGCTCGCGATTGTGTAGCTGCTATTCAAAAACGGCTACAACACAGGAATCCTAACGTTCAAGGCTTTGCCTTGACGGTGTGTTAGAGTGTTTTCATTTTTATTATTATTACTTTATTATTCTTACATGTTGGATCTAACTAAATTCAATTATAGCTCTCGAATTCTCTTGTCAAAATGTGTGGTACAGCTGTGCATAAAGAAATATCTTCTCGTATGTTTACACAAACCTTGACTCGTATATTGCAAGATAAGGTTGGAAGTTCATATTACTTGTCATTATTAATTTTCATGATCCAAAACTTTTTTATACAACTAATATTCATATAATACAGAGTACGCACGAAACCGTAAAAAATCGAGTGCTTGATTTGATTCAAGAATGGAGCAATGAATTTCGTTCCAATGATACTATGGGTCTTATGGAAGAAACTATGAATAATTTACGAACACAAGGTAAGCTAATGTAATTTTTACGGATAAAATAGTTTTTATCAATTAGATCACTTATTGACTATTTCGTATGTTTAGGTTTTCATTTCCCTTCCCCAGAAAAACCTAAAAAAGAATTAAGCGAAGTACATACTTTGACACAAATTTTTTTTTATAATTGTTTGATTTACTTATATCAAGGATATTTTGTATTATAGTATGAACTTGAGAAACAGAAAAAGGAAGAGGAAGAACAGCTTCAATTGGCTATGGCACTTTCTCTTTCCTCTGCAGAAAAAAGTGGACAACGAAAGGTGTGTTTGAATAATGCCCACTTTTGAGTTTATGTTAAAGTTCAATATTAATATTATATCGACTTTATACATAGGTTTCTTCCACAACACCCGTAACTTCAACCACATCGCAACCTCCATCGCAGCCTCCATCGCAGCCTGTATCACATGTATGTCTGCGCATAAATTTTATAAAGCGTAACTTGTTTAAACTGTTATTAAAAATTCAAAAAATTCTTTTAGAGTCAGCATTTATCTCCTAGCGTCTCTAAGGTTAAAGCATTATATGATTTTGATCCTACAGAATCTGGAGAACTTGGTTTCTCCCGTGGTGACGTTATCACCGTATTAGATAGTGTGTATAAAGATTGGTGGCGTGGTGAGTTACGTGGTAAGACGGGTATATTTCCTGTCAATTATGTAGTAAGTGTCAGGAACATGTATTATTAGCATTAGACTTTACGTGGAAACAAACCTTAAGTCCTTACGCAATTTTTTGACTGTATGATATTATTTACAGGAAAAGCTTCCGGAACCAACTGCCGCAGATATTGCAAAAGAAGCGGAAATTGAAGCTGCTATTTTTGCTGAAGGTCGAAACATTGACCAATTGTTAGAATTGTTGGCAGGGCTTGATGTTACCAGAGATAGCGTCACAGATAATGATCACATTCAGGTTCTTAAATATAAATTCATTCATTACAAAAATTCTTCATATTCGTCTTTTAATTTTTGAATTTCTACGATAGAATTTGTATAACAACACTTTACCGGTTCGTCCAAAATTGATGAAACTGATCGAGAAATATAGCCAAAAGAAAGGTATATTTTATTATTAAAAATATATTGTTATATCACATAATTTTTAAATTTCAAATTTGTTCTTTTTAAAAAGATTTATTTATTTATTTTTTAATTTTTTTTTAGATGAATTAATTGCATTGCATAAAAAATTCATCCAGGCCACTACAACTTACGATAGACTTATGGCCGAATCTTTAAAAAAATACGAGGGTTAGTACTTTATATATCAAAAATCAAATTCATAGTCGTAATGTGATTATAACTTATTAGTATATTATGAATACATCATCATGTAGCATATATAAATCCAACCCCACAACCTCAATTTAATTATCCACCCGCAACTACTGGTTATAATGTTCCGCCTGCGCAAAATTTTCAACAAAATTCTGGTGGATATGCTGACTCGGCAGCAGCGCATGGTTATTATAACCCACAACAACATTTCCAACAGATATATCAACCAACAGAAAAATCGCCTACTTATCAAGCACCACCACCACCACCACAACAGTATCCTCAACAATTTCCACAGCAAGAAGTTGTAGCAAAACTTAACGCTTATCAACAAGCAAATCAGCAACAATATCCTTCCACCCAACCTCAACAAGATAATGTAAATCAACAACCACCTAATAATTATCAAACACAGTATCCATCTCAAGATGTACTTGGATCATTAGCTGCCTATCAACAGGCGCAACAACAACCGCCAGTCCAACAACCACAACAAACTCAACCACAACAAGCTGTCCAACCACCTTCACAGTTTGCGGCTTCAGAAAATCAACCGATTTCAAATTACGTCACCCCAGATAATAAATTAAACGCTGGCTCCACACCTAATTATTTACCTCAACAATCTCAACAACATCAATCATATCCCACCCAAAACACTCAGGAACAACCCAATCAATCGAGTTATCATCAAACTTCCCAGTTTCCTCCATCAGATAATAACTATTATTCTCAACAACAAACACAACAGCCATCACCACAATCTACTCAACAACCACCTCCGCAACAACAACCTCAACAGAATCAACCGGGACAAACAAATTATCCACCTAATTCGCAATCGTCATTTCATCAAACACCTTACACTAGTCAATATTTACCACAAGCAGATGGATCTGCTGGTTATCAAGCACAATCTTCAGCTTCCCCCGCACCTGAAATTGTAGCTACTACAGGAGGACAATCATCTGCTAATTATAATACTTATAATTCTCCCCCTCCAAATTCTAATAGTAGTGTTAGTTCGTATTCATTTAATGATGCTTCATATACTCCTACTACAGTTCAGCAAACATCATCAGCTCCCCCATCAACGCAAAAGCAACAAGCTTTTTCATTAGCACAGATATCACAACATATTCAGAATTTGCCAGAACAACAGACACAATCAGCTTATCCACCAAATACACCACAGCAACAACAATATCCTCAACAAAATTCATACTATAATGCATCTCAAAGTGCATCAGCTCCTTATGGTACTCCTGTTGCCCAACCTGAATTCGTTTAATAAAATTATGTTATAAATGTTAGTTTATTAAAGTTATTTGTTTGAATTTGTTTTTTTTTTTTTTTTTGTTTTATTCATTTTATTTATTTTATATATAGGAATTTTTTTTTTAAAAAAAAAATTATATATATATATATAATGCGTATTTGATGCATTTTTATTGCGAAACCTGATTATAAATTGAAAAATGGATTTTTAAGTGAATAAAAAATAATTGTTGGAAATTAATATTTATGTATTTTTGTATACGAATAAATAGGATTTTTAGAATTTTTTTTTTTTTTTTTGTAAAATTTATTTTTATAATATAAAATATAAGTATGAAAAATAATGAGTTTGTTTAGATTATTTATTAATAAATAAATATTAGAGTGATATAAAATGAATAAATTTTTCTTTTATTATCTATATAATAATATGTTTTAACCATTTTTGATTTATATATTATAAAGAAGATTTAAAAAAAAGGTATTTAAACCTATTTATTATTTATCTAAAATTATATATATAATTTAATATTATTTATAAATATAAAATAATTTTTTATTATAAATTAGATTAATATTATATTAGTTATTTAAATTTAAAAATAATAAAATACACAACATAAAACATTTTTTTTTAAATTAAATATAATCTAATTTAATAAATTTGATTTAACTTCTAATAATTTAAAGTTAATAATTTTAATAGTTATTTAAAATTTTTTATTTTATTAAATATAATTATTTTATATTAAAATATATAAATAAATTTATTATATAAAAAATGGTTAAAGAAATTAAATTTTAAAAATTTTAATAAAATTTAAATTTAATTTTTATTATATTTTAATTTTTGATATTATTAAATAAAATGCAATTAAATATTAATTTTAATTAAAAATTTGTAGAATATAATTTTTTTTTTTTATTATCGTAAAATTTATATATATAATAAAATTTTAATTTTTTAATATTAAAATTAAAATTTTATTATTTAATAAATAAAGAGTAGGTATTTATAAATTTAAAAAATTTTTTATATAAATTTTTTATATAGTATACATAAAATTGATTTTATTTTAATAATAAATTTATTTATTTAAAAGAAATATAATTTTATTATAAATTAAATAATTTAAAAAAGATATAAATACAAGCTTTTATAAGTTAAAAATACCAGACTGATAGCTGTATAAAAACTTCTCCTATAAAAGATAGTATTTAGATAATTATTTTTTTAAAATAATATTTATA